ATCCCCAGTGCGTATTTATTGTAGTAAACTTCCGTGATTCTTCCTACAGTTCTATCTGGAAGTACGCGTGGTTTAGGTCAAGTTTGGAAAACTTGACTCCGCCTGCCAATGTGGCTTAGAGATCCTCAATACGTGGAATTGGATATTGTTCCAGTACGGCCTCTTTGTTGATCGTCAATTTGTATTCTCCATAAATCCGCACTGAGACATCTGGTTTCTGGACGAGTACAATGAGTGCTGCCCAGTCTGATTGTTTCACGACCGTGATGACGTTTTGCTCTTNGGCGTCTCAGCTCCTCCACTTTCGGCCTGATGGAGAACGGCAAACTGCGCGCCTTGAAAAATCGACTTTGTGTCTCTGGTCGCACATTAAGTGTAACTTGAAATTTGGCTAGTTTTCCCAATCTATTTTCTTCGAGAACAGGCGCAAACTGGGTCAGTAGTTGTTCCAGCAAGTCCACAGTTTTAATGTTATGTATATGCTGTATTAGTTCGGGCAGTTGTTTCAACCATCCTCGGCAAAGGAGATTTGGTCCTTTGTTGTGAACGATAAAATCGGTAGGGATACATCCTTTGAGTCATGCTGTACACGATAGGTCCCCAGGACGGGGATTTGTTGGCCCGTATAAGTTTGTAACGTTGTGGAGGTAGCATTTAAAGGAGGTCATTTGGGGAGATCGTGATCGTTGATAATTGTTACTGATGCACCGATCTCCATCTTTACCAGCTGTCTTTCTATTAGGAGTTGGACGGAATACGGTGGCACAGGTGATGGACGTTGGAGTGATGTGTTTGAAACCAAATAGAATAAGTTTTCTTTTTTTTGTTCCACAAGGCACAGAACACGTATAGTCCAGTGCACGTAGCCTTACTGAATGACTCATGCCTCGCGTGACAATCTACAATAGGACAATGACTAACAGGTCAACCAATAGGAATCAGTTGTGGGGTCTGTGTGTGTGCGGGCGATCGAGAGCCCGCTTGTGTGCATATGTATGTGGATGAGGTAAACACCGGTCTTCGTCTGATAGATAAGCAGCTGCGAGTGGGATGGAGAANATTGATCGACGGCATAATTGACGTTGGCACATGTCACAGATACGTTCGAGGAAAATCACGTAGCAGACGCTAGTCTGATCGGAATTGCATGACACCTTCTGACTAAGACTGTACACCAGGGACTGTCTGCAACACGGAAGCAGTCTCCTTTTGAGACTCACGCTTTCGTTATTGGTATTTGTGTTTGTATAACTTACGAAGGTTTCATGGGCCTTTGAACCCCGATCTCGGTGTTTCTTCTATCAAAGGGTGATCTTCCACTCGGTCAGCGATATCACACTTCGGTACTGGCTCTCCTTGAACGGTGTACAGGGATAATTCAACTGTTTTNACTGTTTTTCCCTTGAACACTCACTATCTCCTATTAAGTGAAGCTGTAGACCTTTTCGTCAGATTCTGCATCAAGGCTTAGTGTCCGACAGAGTTACTGTCCCCGCCTCCTTGCTGCTGAAAGATCATGAGTGTACCGTGAATTTGATGTGAAAATATACCATTGATATTTTATCGCTCATACCACTGCTAACGTAGCTTTGCTCACCACGCATTTTAAACCTGCAAAGTTTTGATCCCACACCGAATCTCAGACTAACCAAAATACAAATGATTGTCAAAATCCGCTACTAAGGTGGCCATATTGGTCCTGACAGATAGATATATTGAATGTGAGGAAAAGGAGTCGTAAGGTTATGAAAGCTTCCAAATGAGTCATAACCCTGGAGGCTAGATGTGGGATGAACGAAGTCTGATGCTTGCAACAAGTTTGCAAAGATGGGTTGTACTATATCGCGTGTGTACTTTCTAGCTGTTACGTTCCTGGTTCGATCCCCAGTCTGATCGATGGTTTCGCATTGCTGATGAGACCAAACTAGGTCGAAACAGTTGTCCGGTGCTTCCTAGTTTTTCAGCTTAAACCCCATTTACACGATGAATTCAACATATTTATTCAAATTAAATCCCCCACTTCTCTCATGGATAGACGAAATTTGGTCAGGTGTGTGGAAAACCTTGCAACTACAGACATTAGTAGCACTATCGGATAATCCGGTTGTCTATGAAGGATCGTGTACTATTTTGATTGAGGTAAATAATGATTAAAAGCAGGTCTAGGCTGGTCAAACTATCATCCAGCGTGAATGTCTGGATATCACTGGACTTGGTCATACGAACTTTGTTAAGCATCCCGGTTATAGGCACTCCTGAAATCGGGTCGTTTACTGGTTAGAAACTTCGTGACACCTCTGACGCATCTGTACTAAAGCATTTTCAGTGTTTGTTTCATTTTCTCGTATGCTACATTCCAACCCTGTTTTTTATTCACACTGCTGCCTATTCTGAGTTGATCAGTTTGGTAACTAAAAGCAATCAATTAAAACCGGAACCTGCTCTTTAACTGATCTAATAACCAATCGGTCGAGCACACAAAGACATGGATTGAATTGAGTAACGGTGGAGAGAGTCATATTACTGTCAACGTGTTGGGTGCCGGTGGCCATGACCACGTTTCCTTCGATTTAATAGAATCATAAATGTTGCAAAGATGTGACTTAATTAGACTGAATAGGCTTGGTGTTCATATACAATCGATGTCCAAGTCCAATGTGAAAAACGCAGTGTGAAGCTTGTAGAGGAATAAACCTTATAATGAACTATGCAAGTGCACATACCATCTCAGAAGTACAACGACACACAACGAACTGTGCAATCGATTGGATTTTCACGTGAAAGTCAGATGATCCAGATAACCTATCGATGTATGGAATGCCATCCCAGTAGTGGGTCATATACGCATACATAGTATGGATGTGATTAGTGTTTAATAGGCAGATCAATGTGCGCACCCTTTGATTAAAGTTCTACCATTTTCAGAAAATTTAAATTCACTATTTGTGATGCATGTTCTACTGACCATCCCATCTCTATTCCTTTGTGTTGCACCGGTGTGTGACGCTCACTGTCCTCAATATCCCGCCGCGCGGATAGCTGGTTTCAGCCGAACAAGCCTTACCGTCACGTGAACTGATGCGATTTGTACGTAGTCTGGACGTGGATGGTCGTATTCCCCAGTACATGCGTGAGGATGATCAGGCCGCGATCGGAGAAGGTTGGACTGCCGATTCGCGCGAATCAGTTGCACCACTTCTACGCCTGGTAATCCGAACCGGACCTGGTCCGGGATCACAACATTTTGAGGCAATTGTTCAAATTCGTTTGAATTCAAAAAGACAAAGGGAATTCGTACTGAGTACAGTTAATCGACTGGACCAGTATGAACCACGAGCTGGGTGTCTTCCGTCCGCAAAGTGGCCAGAAATTCGACCATTTTGTGTTTGTCCACCAAACGGGAACGATGTGGATCGGGATATTGCATAATACATCACGGACAGCAGACGCGCCATTTATTTATTTGTTTGTTTTCAATTATTATTTCAGAATGCACTGTGGCAACAGAAATTTGTGTGCCATTTTCTTGAGAAGGTTTACTGTTCTTTTTTACCTTTACTCAATCTCAACACACCCTGATAATACATGAGTTTCCACCACACCTAAATCATTTTCATGTCTTTGTGAGGAAATACAAAAAATAATGCAGTACATATGTGATAATTTCGTGGAGCGATTCTAGTAGCATATGCACCGCAACTAATCGATCGTGTTTCGTTTTTATTGTCTAACATGACTGCTGTTGACCGTTGTTGCGCTCAGAGAACTAAAAAAGATACACGCGTAGCAGCACAATTTATTCATCGCATGTTGTTTAGCGAGCCGGAAAAGGAAAGATTTAGTCTTGCCTGAAACAAATGAGACCACAGGTCCGAGTCCCAATCAGGTTGATAGATTCGCACTGCAGATGAGACCCAACTCAATCGAAACAGCTATTCAATGCTTCTGAGCTTTTCAGTTCACTCCTCCCTGACACACTGTGCACTATTTAAATGAAGAGAACGACAAAAATGTCAGTTTTCGGTTGCCAGAAGTTCGTCTGTTGCTTAAACGCCCGTATTCTCCAACAGAGTTAATCACAAAAAATACGTCCCAGAAAAACACCTCGAAGCGAAAAGTATGCTGTTACACCGCCGGATTGGTCTCGATCTATTCGGTTGCGGATCCGATCTCTTGAAAAGCGCCGCCCGATGTCCGATTGACCAAGGGAATTGAACATATGTATTTATTTCAAAATCATGCCCCATAAGATTTTTACAGAATGCTTTGAATAACTTTACAAAGAGAAAATAATAATAATAATTTGCATGAGCACTCACGGATGTCGAAATTTTAAGTGTTCCAATGCTTTATCAAGTTGCGATTTAAATAGTTCAACTGTAGGAGCACACACTCTATCAGATGGAATAGAATTCCATACGCTGCACATTCTGACTGCAAACGAGTGATGCCGGCAATCGAGTTGGCTGTTCTGGGTCTTCAACTTTAGTGGGTAACACCTGAGGTGATTATTCTGAGATAAAGTTAGCATAGAACGGCGAGGGTGGTTGGGTTGATACAGTATGTGATATGCCAAGATTAGGTCCCCCCAAAGTCGGCGGTATTGGGATGAGTAGAGTCCCAATATTTGCAGTCTTTCGGTGTATGTATTGTTATATAGAGCTTTTACCAATTTTGTTGCCAGCCTTTGCAGACGTTCTGAAACCTTCTTGTCGCGGTTCGACCATCTATTCCATACTTCAACGGCGTACTTCGTGTGTGACCGAATGAACGCTGATAGCAAACGTGGGAACAGTGCTGTTTCGAACTGCCCGAAAACACGTCTGAGTAGTACAACTTGCTTTATAGCGATGGATGATGCTCTGACACAGTGTGTGGAACATCCTACGTCCTCCTGTACCATAACCCCGAAATCCTTTTCGTCAGTGGCATGCGGTAGTATTTGGTTCCCCAGAACATAGGAGAAGCGAGTCTTGTGCCGCATGGAAATAACTATGCATTTGGAAACTTCGAACTCGATGTCATTGGTGATTGACCATCGGTGGGCTGCATAAAAGATGAGAAATCTGAATAATTGGCCGGCGAGTGCTTCACTCGGGTTTTTGCATCCCATTCAAGCCATAACATATTTTACTTGAGACTGTGAGATCAAATACTCCACTAAGGGGTCCCAATATAACCTCCTTCAACGTAATAACTTCCGCGAATAGTGTCATGCTCGAAAATAACAAGCAACTCTTTTACCAAGTGGCTCTCAGCCTTCTAGACTGACAAAAGATCAATCAACACTTTCCAGGTATACCACAGTTACAAGAGTGGTGCTCTTGAAAAAATACCTACAAATGTGTTGTGTTCACCAACTGGTCCAGTGAGTGGGAACGCCAGTTACATTTTCATTTAGGAAAATTGGCTTGAGTGCGGAAAAATCTTAATCGTGAGAAATATACAAATCGATCAGTTTGGTGTGACGACTTGCATTATATGAGTCTCGCTAGGGGGGAGGGGGAGGAATGTTTCAGTGCCCTAAATTGGTATTGCACTTCAATTCAAGTCAAGAAACGCTTTATGTACCCAAAAGGTCCAAAAGGGATCCTGTGTGTTCGCTGTATTTCAAATTTTTCCGTTTTAATATTAGTTTTAATCCAAATGGATATGTTATATCACGAAAAGTGACCATCCCTAAATGAACATTCCCGTCTAACGGTTTCACAACAATCCGCACCATTACTTGTAATTCTTATTTATGAAAAGTTTTTTCGATGTCAGACTTTGCACATTCTCAGTTATTCTGTTTATGTCACAATCATGACGGGAAAGAGATGAGTTAATAAAGCGCTTTGCATATCCCAACCAGCCGCGTTATGTGAAAGTTGAACAGAAACTGCATGACACCATGTGATTACATCATTTTAAGGGGTCACATCATGAAATAAGCTCATTGTTGCAATCAGATCACAAATAGTGTGCGGATATTTGTTTTCAGCACTGATATTCATTGCAGTGTAAGGGTACCACTCAATAGATATCAACGAACGGTATAAGGTGGGTGTGAAATGCTTAATCAGTGGACTTTGGCATATAAGTTTTATATGGTTTCTCGTTCATGCATCCTCTTAATCTAGTTGCCATCTTAGTTTGCCTGAATTCTCTGTTTCCTTGTTGACACTGTTTTTATATTCCAATGTTCCCTCTACTCCTTTATCCAAATGGTTCCACACGAAAGTTCACGGTAAATGGTTGCACAAACTGGAACAATTAGGAAACTGATTGGGGATATGGACGAGGAACAGCTCGTGTTTTCGTCAGACTGGATTGAATCGGTCGATAAATCCTCAAGGCTTGAGAATGTAATCACCGAATATGTGTGTTTGTTCACCTACGATCCGTGTTCTGTTTACAAACCGATCACCGCGTTACCTAACACGTACGAGTTCATATGTCACGAGACAACATTTGGACTATGAAATGTGTGCTATTTATCTACAGTAATGCTCGACTGATGACGTCGGACTTCGGATAAATGAAGGCAAAAGGATGCGTGATGCTGGCACAAGAAGATTGAACCATGCAGTTTTTTTTGAGCGGTTTACTAAATAAACTCATCCCGGTTATCTTTGAGTTTCCATTGATGAAACCAATGCATCTGAATGACATTCGGTTTGTTGATGAAACAAATCGGGATTTGATCCCCCCCCCCAAACCAGGAAAACAATAAAATCACTTCAATGGTTATTTAAAACACCAGCATTGATCGTTCGTGACCGAAACACAGCATTCGTCCGGCATAGGGTTGTTTGCGCTTTCAACTTGCCCCACTGTTGAAGAACAACTGTTTCCAATTCTGGTTCACTTTTGGACTACTTTTCTGTAGACGTAAATCAGCATCACCTATGTCTGCAAAAAACGATTTCCAATCATGGCTTAAATCTGGGCTTTGGGCTGATCAGATCATTGTCGTAATGTTCCTTTCCAATAGCTCTAATTTAGTGAGGTGTTGAAAAGTCATAGTTGCATGGGAGTAACGATGAGACCCAACCAGGTGGAAACTCGTATCCACCAGTGCTTTCTAGCCTTTCAGTTCACGCTTCGTTTGTTCTACGTGCGAAGAATTCACTTAAGAAAAATAAGTTCCCGCTCGTATATCTGGAATCGTGGAATTTATGTTGCAGTGTATCACATCGTTCCAATCAAGTGTTCAACTAATGTGTCTTCTGCCTTGCTCAACTGTATCATCAATATGACAGTTTGCTGAGATCGATCTTGAAGTCGTCTGTGGTGTCAGTTGCAACAGTTGCTGTGAAGTGGAATGATCACTGTAACTCAGTTGCACTTGGTAACCGATTTTCCGCAACAAATAAACGCTGTCTCGAGCCATGATCAATGATCTTCCGTCGAAATTAGTTTTTATCCGAGCAGTTATATCCCTTGGATCGGCCAAAGGTTCACACCCGGTCGGCTGTAGGGGTCAAACTTCGTCACAATCGTTGTTTGGATCCCGGTAGTCTGCATCGGACTACTTCTTGTCATCATATCTCGCTGCCTTCATATACCATATTCAACGGGATTGACAAACCGTTTATAAACTGCTTTTCTGAGGTCTGGGATGAGGCCTGTAAAAGAACTACGGTATACAATGTCTGGATACCCAATAAGAAACCTGTGTTCAAGGCCAATCAAATTCACTGCGTTTCAATCAGGTATATCGTGAATGGAGGAACACGAAAGCTGATTGGTCAACACCTATTGTGTGCCTAATAAGATCTTGTACAATGTTATTAACTTTGTTTCATTTTCTCCTTCCAGTTCGTATCGGGAGATCCGGGAGCTGATTGCGAGTGATTTCGATTCCTGCAACCATTTCGAGTACTACATTTATATTTAGTTCCATGGTGTCCACTTCCTTGTAGGCCTCATTTGCACCTCGCAACTCGCAAAAGAATTTGATTTCATACAACGCAGTGAAAATCGGAATTGTTTGGCTAGTCTATAAATAAAAACTTGTCATTATCGTCATTTCAAAACTGAGGATTCTAGCTAAAGCGGTTTTCCTAAATACATATCAATAGATGTGGCCTTGATAGCTTTGGTGGCCAAGGCTAATGTCTCTGGGCATCCCCTAATACATCCGATGCATAACTGACTCACGTAAACCTCGTTGTAACCAGCAAATTGCAGTTTATCGGCAGAACTCCGAGTTCGGTTAGCAACCCCGGCGACAGAATTTCCACGATATATTGGTTTAAAAGATTCATTATATGAAATTCAATTGGTTTTTATACACGACGAATCTGGGTCGTTTCGACAATGAGAAATGAAAAACATACCGGGTGATTTAGGAGCATTTCTCTAACCATTTTTCACGGAACCACTCGAGGAAGTCGGGCAATTATGCCACACGTTACCGCACTAATTATTTTTCGATCGGGTCC